CCGACTATAAGTTCAAACTTATTTCGCAAGGATAACGACGATATAGTCACGGGAGTGAGGGTAAACTGGCGAGGAGTGAGATCAAATGACGAGAGGTGAGAAATAGGTACAAAATGGCGAGAGTGACAACAAAATGTCGAAAGCGAGAACAAGCCGCATGCCGAGATTCTATGTAGGTAGAGCATGCGCAATTTATACAAAATAAGTATACATTCTACATTGCATGAAAACCGAAATTCCATCATGCTCAACGAAATTTCATCAAGTTAGGTACGTCCAACATATCCCGACAAACATTTACAATTTAGCTCATTCCCAGTTTCTTACATACTTTCAACCCTCAAGCCGTACTGATAGAGACCTAGGTATACCAGCTATCTCCTGGATCGCTGGTCCAGCGTGCCGACCAATATGAGGCTGCATGGTTTTCTCTGTTCAGTTGCGATCTCGGGGTGGCGGAGTTCGTACAACATGTCATCGATTCCCCCAGTGGACTATCGGTCACGAAATCTATCACACTGGCGTGGCGTGGGGCGGTCGCGGCGGCGGACCCGCCCACAATCCGACGCGTGTGTGTGCCGCCGGTAACACAATACGGCACCCGTGTGAGTGCGGTGTTCCCACGCGTCACGGCTGATACTGCACAGAAGTTGACACAAATTGACGTGTCAATGAGCCGTCGTCATCGAACATCCGAGGGGCGCAGTCCATTGAGGGATGGCGTGCCGCTGAGGAAGAACAGCATTTTGTTTGAGAACAATGTAGCAAACATTCGCTCACCAAACAGGCCTCTGATAGGAGGGATCAGTGTCCACTGATCGTGGGTATAGTTAAACACAATAAATATTGATCATGAGAAAGGAAAAGCATAGCTTGAAACCCAAATAGGTAATAGGTATATTTGGTATAAGAAGACTGTTCAAAAACGAGTTGAATTTTCTTTTACCTGATACAGCAGCGGATCGGTCTACCAGAGCTCTCCCATTTAGTTTCCGATCAATCAGATTGTTCGCTTGCAGCCTTGCTTTTCCTTTGAAATGTCTTCAGAGTAAGCAGTGTCAATATTATCAGGTAATTAGGTTATCACTGCATAACAGGACACGCGTGGTTCAAATATTAGTACACCTTGTCCACAGCCCATCTTCTGTGAATGTGCGTCGGGCTGGCGTCGGGCGTTCCATTTACTGCACTGTGTGGTACCCGTATGTGACTTGATCTTCGCCAGGCATACGGTCAAGGCGGGACCGGACACTTGAGAGCTCTTGCTTTTCAGGATTGACCCTATTAGTCCAGACTTAATGGCTCTTCTCGTCCAGACTAATCGACTCTATTAGTCCAGACTAACTAGTGCGTCAACGAACAGTGACCCACTGCAAACTGCAAAGAAACACATAGCTCAGATGTCTGACGAGAAACTTACACCGTGCACACAGTAATTTTCCCTTTTCTGCTTGGAAAGATGGCGTCCTGTGTAGGCCGGTTCTTAATTTGAAGCGGGCTTTGTTGAAAAAACCTTGTTTCGTTGCCAGCTGTAAACATTGCCACAACAACCACAATATGCGGTGGCCGGTGAGTGCCAACTAGATGTAAATTGGATACCAGCTTTATTGCTATCCTACCGTTTCCAAACTAATGCGGGGTCCAATTCTGATATTTTCATTATAAACTAAATGTTAAACCAAGACCGATCATTTATCACGGGGATGAATGGTCGATCATTGTATGCTAACCCCAAAGCCATTACATTCACTTATTGTGCGAACGTGCGCTCGATCTTGGAGTACTGCACACAGCACAGCTGCGTTATGGGAGGAGGGGATGCCAAAACCCATTTGATCAAAACCGACAAACTTCAACATAAAACTCTTATTTGGCTTAGAGCACGCTGCCATGGTGCCACGACCTCTCAAATGAGAAAATCTCCCTTATCATTTCGGTCTAACATGTATCGCTGCGAGGAGACGGCAGTACGACCTTATCTTCATTCGAAACATCTATCTTACTATTTGAACAGGATCCGTCTGTTTGTTTGTTTGTTTGTCCGCCACGCCGTGTAGTGGGTTCAATTTAGCCGGCCTACAGGGCAGACGGTATATCGTAGGGGGTTGAAATTTGCACACCTTCTAGGTGACAGAACGGGTCAGCGCCTTTTCTAGGTTTCGACTCGCTGGGGTGCACGGTTCGCGCGTGGGGCGCGCCGGAAGAACGCCAATGAAATTTTGATCGGTTCGTAGATCTTCACTGAGAGCCGGGGTCGACAAACTTTGTGAGCTAAATGCATGCCGATCGGCGGCGAGTGCCTCGCATTGGCGGATCGGCAAGTTATTAATTTGAATAAAAAGTGGCGAAAAATGTGTTAATTTTCGTTCGATGGAAACAGTTTGTGATACGAGTTTACAAATGCACCGTGTTTGCCGCAATGCGTCACATTTGTCCTAAGGCTCCATCTTCGTCGCAAATCGCACAGTTTTGTCAAATATAGTCCGATATGGGTGCAATTTGGTGCCAGGATGCATACTCAGCCAACAGGTTCAGATGCGCCGCATTTGACGCCATGCGCCACATTTGTCACAATGCGCCATTTCCGACAAATACGATTAAGCGTAATGGAATGGCACGAAGATGAGCAGGGCTAGAAGCACTTTCAAAGTATGATTCTTTTTTTAGTGACCTGACATGACCCAGCGGTATTGGTAGGGGTAGGGGTAGGGGTAGTGGTAGTGGTAGGGGTAGTGGTAGGGGTAGTGGTAGGGGTAGTGGTAGGGGTAGTGGTAGGGGTAGGAGTATGGGTAGTAGTAGTGGTAGGGGTAGGGGTAGGGGTAGATGTAGGGGTAGGGGTAGGGGTAGGGGTAGTGGTAGTGGAAGGGGTAGTGGTAGGGGTAGGGGTAGGGGTAGTGGTAGAGGTAGTGGTAGGGGTAGGGGTAGGGGTAGTGGTAGTGGAAGGGGTAGTGGTAGGGGTAGTGGTAGGGGTAGTGGTAGAGGTAGTGGTAGTGGTAGGGGTAGTGGTAGGGGTAGGGGTAGGGGTAGTGGTAGGGGTAGGGGTAGTGGTGGAGGCAAAAGCAGAACAGTGGCCCGGGCTGATCCCAGCTGGACGAGATGTGACCTATGTGACCTGGCCTGACCCAAAGTGACCGGGGCTGACCCCTTTGACCCGTATTGACCCCGTATCACCCAAATTTCATCCAACAACGCCCTCAGAACAGTTCTTTTTTAAATTCTCTTCACATTTCCGTCCATATCTATGCTTCTAGACAACACATCGACATGAATCAAACACCATTCGAAAGCAAATTGGCTGGTGCCGCAATTTTTACCTACCACGCAGCAAAGCAAGTGGCGCAGCCGCTTGTCTATATTACTATTTGAGGAAGGCGTAGTTTCTGTCTATTACGAAGGTCGCGACATGGTGCTACGTAGCGCGGGTTACAAGTCACACCGTTGCACCTACCGCGCTGAAGTTTGCGCAACTCATAGAACAAGGATGGACAACGTGCCTTTGATGGGTCTCAGCTCGATCGGATCGATAGCGAGCGCGTGGCGCGTGCCCAAAAAGTGCAAATTCGCGTCATAGACTTTACATGTATTAATCGGCTGGTAAAAACGGGCGAAAACAGCCAAATTTGCCCGACACGGGTCCGGTCCCGGTGCAATATCTCGGTAACCGTGGGCCCGACCGGTACGGGGAAAACAGCATCGTGTAGAGAATCGAACGGGCTATCGAATGGTGTGCGGTGCAGGGGTTGGCACGCGCCACGTGCACCGGGGAGGACACTTTCTTTTGAAAAATGGACGTTTTGGACGGATTTTGGAATTTATATTAATTTCAGGTGATCGTCAGACGGAATGAGTTGAAACAGCGCCTATTAGCAATAAAAATGTACCGTCTCTCATGGAAAAATTGTGAAAAGCTAATTGATCAAAAACAATGTGGAAAAAGTCGCTGAATTAAATGGTATTTGTCCAAAATGTGCCACTAAATAATTACACGGATTTTGCTGCTTAACCTGATAAGTTTGACAATGAAAATGCTATCATTAGAAAGAGCATTCAATTCTCTCCAAGATCCAACCATCACGTTTGCATGACAAGCAACGGTATTCTTAAAAATATAAATGTTTCAAACCTCTGCAAATCCATTTTTAGCAAAAATTATCTACGCCTTTCATTTGTCACAAAACTACGCACCTGAATTATAAAACACATTTGACAGGTTCACTGAACTATTGACAGTTTCTGAAGCAGAAAGCATGCTTATCAGACACGGGCACTTCGATCCGATGGATATTTTTTTCCAAACCAAAACGTTTAGCCATCAAAAAGCAATCGACCGAAATGGATAGATAGCCCAACCGACACAAGAAAACCAAACACCCGCCGATCGTAAATACCCCTTTTCGCGTTGCGGAGCACGCGGGTCACCCTAGTCCTCTACTATTTAGAGATGAGCCTGCTTTACTAGAATTATTTTACTTGCTGCTACTCCTCGTGCTCTGCAAAACCAAGTGCTGTTTCATGTTCCCTATGCCAGGGTGAGCACTGTAAAGTCGAGCATATTTATGAGGATACTCCATCAATGCAACAGGTTCCTGAACTCTGTTCGCACGGTAGACGTTTTTCATCGCAGGTTTTCACCAGTCCCAGAAAAATGTGATTTCATATTTAGCATCTCAATTCTCAACCATAGTCTAGTCGGCAGCAGCATCAGCCATGTCGCTTCTTAAATTGATATCGCTGGTAATGTATAATATCAGTCATTTTATTGTCTTTTATTTTAGATGTATTTTGCAGACAGTATGCTCAGCATCCTCTGTAGCTACGCATTTTCTAGTCCTGGGTCTTTCAATGGTCATTCCATTCTGGTTGGGGTGCCGCTGCTTCATTACCTGCTGGTTGAGGTCCGTGAGGCCTCTACCGGCTGGTTGGGATCCTTGTGCGCCATTACCTGCTGGGTGAGGTCCTAGTGGGGCCTCTACTAGTACTGTTCGTTGAGGATGCATTACCTGTTGGTTGAGGTCGCCGAGCCGCAGCACGGTGCCGACGAGTCCAGTGAAGACGGCGAGCACCGGTGCCGGAGGCGGCTGGCACCGAGTCACCAGGTTGGAGGCGACCACAGCCGCCACGGCCGACACGACGCTCAGCGACAGGCTGGCGCTGACGAACGACACTGCAGCCGGCACACACGAGCGGGTCCGTCACACGAGCGGGTCTAACGAGCGGGCCCGTCACACGAGCGGGTCCGTCACACGAGCGGGTCAGTACGAGCGGGTCCGTCACACGAGCGGGTCAGTGCAAGCGGGTCCGTCACACGAGCGGCTCAGTGCGAGCGGGTCCGTCATACGAGCGGGTTCGTCACTACAGCGGATCCGTCACACGAGCGAACCAGTTTAGGCGTGTACCATCACTTCACATACATACACTGATAGATACCGTACCTATGTAAATGTGTACCACAGACTATCTGGCCTATTTGCCTGCCTGAAGATCTGTATATTATACATATACGGTATCTAGCACCAGTGTATATGTCGAAGGCATCGGGTGAAATCCGGAATTTCATGCAATGTCTAGGCATTACGTGGAATGCCGGCAAAGGCTGAACTATTCGTAGAAATACGCGCGTTACAGCGAATGCCTGAAACTTTTAGTCATAGTTCATGGAATGCCAGGTGGAGACCCGGCAGTCGCTGAACTATGGTCGAGATTATCCGAGCATAACCATTTCCTATGCATTACATGAAATGCCCACGTGACTACCGGCACTTTTTGGAACGATTACTGCAGATGTACGAGCTGTTTGTCCCTGGCTCAGCACAAACCTAACCAACACAGCTAACCCAGCCCAACCCTAATCTAACCTAAGTTGTCTACTTTTCACATAACACGTCAGGTGAGGGTTGATTATAGGTGTTTGTTATGTAGTTGAAAGTAGGTTTTACGCTATATGTTAGGCTAGGTTAGGTTAGATTATGTTTGAGTTAGAAATGAATATGGCCCGACGTTATTTGAACCCGCCATATCGCCACGGAGTTCAACATCCAATATCATGCACCACCATCCCGTTCTACCGGTGACACTTGAATATGGAAAAGGCGCGGGGACTCGCACATCCAGGGTTGCGGAGTCGGAATCAGAGCCGGTAAAGTCGACAGCTATAACCGCAGAGTCGTAGTCGATTTTCGCAACCGGAGTCAGAGTCACCGAAAATCTTATCGACTCCGCAGATCTGGCAAGGCTGCGAGGTCGGACCTGGAGTTGGAGTCAGCTGGATTCGAAAGTTCTGTCTTAAGTCGGAGTCGGAGTCGGATCTGGTTATTGACAGCTGGAGTCGGAATCGGAGTCACCGAAAATTCGTCGACTCCAGCCCTGCGCACATCTGCAGTAATCGTTGCAAAAAAGCCGGTCGTCACTTTGGGCAACGAGTGTGTTCAGTTGATTATGGTCATAGTGACTACCGGTGCAGTCATAATGTAGATAGTAGCCGTTTTCACCACAGGCTATCTGGCGAATGCACCTAATTTGACCAAATTTGTACCATATTTCTTTTATAGCAAATATCTGTAAATTATAAACTCATTTCAGTGTCTTAGTCGATGATAATGTCTGATAGTATGACAAGGAAGGCATATAAGCAATTAGTGCAACCCTAGATAATAGCTACGAAAAAGCACACTGAACCCAATCTGACCAAACCTGCACCAAATCTGACCAAATGTGTGCCAAATGTGTACCAGATAGCCGTCGTGAAAACTGCTAATCTAACTCGAAAGCTACCTTGAAATCACTGAGAAGAGGTTATAGTGAACAGAAATGTCAATGCATACGCGCTGTTCCTGTGAGGCGCTTACCGAGTTTTGGTACAGAGGTTCCACCAACAGGAGGCATCCACCAGAAGAGGTTGAACAGGAAGAATATTAGCGCCACCGAGTGGATGGTGGCCACTTTCACCTTGGCGGGCGAGTCCGGGGGTATCCAGAACACCAGCAGCACGTGAACAGTCAGCCCTGAAAAAGGGAATGACGGTCATCTATTATCGCAGACATCCAAGTATACTTTGACAAAGGGCTTTGTCATTGCATTCGTCGCTGGTTTAATACATACAGGGTGGGGCAGCATAATCGGGAATGCTTTTTGGGCTCTGGTCATGAGTAGGCATGGCATTATTTTGATAAATTATATCATGGCAATGAAACGCCCAAAAGTTGTGCATCATCTGACATGACTACATCCATGAGCATGCAACTTCCTGGAAAAGAGCAGCAAAATAGTTCGACGGTGCTCCAAGTGCTTTGCGCGCGCCCATAGACACTAATGTTAAACGAGTAAAACAAGAACATTTTGTTTAAAACAATGCCATTCCACGTAAAGGTTGCTGGACAGGTCAACGTGTTATCACGGACGATAAGGATTGTGTGGGGATACTTAGGACAAAAACTTAACGTAATCGTCGTAAAATAACTCTTAGCAGAGGACATACAAGATGACTCACTTGAATATAAGGAAGAAGCTCTTGAGCATATTAAAAAGAAACAATGTTCAAAACTTCAGCGACCAAAAATCTTATCACCGACTGGAATACGATAAAAAAGAATGGCATGCCATATAGGGGATTGTATCGAGAATATTGCAGCGGTCATGCAAAGTAAACATCCTGTTGAGGTGATGGACGGTCCAGATCACGTCTTACGAGGACTCTGTCCGTGCTGGTACTGCAGTGAGGACGACATGTTATTGTGTAGGGCACCTCCACCTGAGATGAACCAAAAACTTCTGGTCCTTCAACTCCGCCGATTTAAATCCGACCAAATTCTTTATATGGAGCGTTTTTTGGTAGAAGTTTAATGAACAACTTATCATCAGTAAAAACGGTCTTCAGTGCAAGGTACGAAGCTGATGGGCGATCATGGACAAGCAGGAGGCTGCACGTGCATGTCTTCAAGGGAGGTGCACGTGGTGCACCCTACTTCATCGAGCCCGGATAAAACGAGCACCTCTGGTAAATACATCCACACTCTGGCAGACTCACGTGGAGTCGTCGGAAGAGAGGATCACTGACGGTCCAGATCACGTCTTACGAGGACTCTGTCCGTGCTGGTACTGCAGTGAGGACGACATGTTATTGTGTAGGGCACCTCCACCTGAGATGAACCAAAAACTTCTGGTCCTTCAACTCCGCCGATTTAAATCCGACCAAATTCTTTATATGGAGCGTTTTTTGGTAGAAGTTTAATGAACAACTTATCATCAGTAAAAACGGTCTTCAGTGCAAGGTACGAAGCTGATGGGCGATCATGGACAAGCAGGAGGCTGCACGTGCATGCGCGTGCTTTTGGACCCGCCTTGAGAAGGTCATCGACGCGAAGGGCGGTCAAATAGGATGAGGGATAGGTAAAAGGTGACCGATTGATGGGATGTTGTTAAAATAGTGCTTGGAGCTATATTTTTAAATTCATGACCAAATAATCCCGTTTGATATTTATTCCCGATTATGCTGCCCCACCCTGTATGCATAACGCATGACACGTATTGTTAATTCAACTGCTGTTCGAATCTGTCTTTGCTACTCGTTTTCTGTGACCATGCGCTAGGTAAAAGCACAAAATGTTTGAAAATATCAATTTGTCAGCAATAGTCCCAATGCACAGAAGTGATGTCTACATAAGTGCTGCAATGCATGCAAAGGCATTGAGCGAGTTTCTCTCACTGGATGTATGGAACGCAGGTCAAGTCGATTTAGGGCCGCTCAATGCCAATGATTGCTACTTCCGGCAGGTAATATCTCTCTTCAGACTTCCTCCGAGATCAAATCAATCTCCAGCAAGAGTCTGAAATGTTGCTGGGAGACAAATTGAAACTGAACTCACCCAGATATGAGCATTAAACAATGGACATCCTTGCTGCTTACTTCGATTTTTGTGCTCGTCTATGGGATGTATAGGCGGTAGGCGGGGGACTGGCTCTTTTCTCAATAGGCTACATCAAAAGGATTGCAATATAGTTCGTTCCGTTTGACGCGAAATTGGTTATTTCGTCGTCTGCTGTCATAGAGATGAGTCTCTCTTTCGCCGAGTTACCGTTTATTTCAAGAGTATTCTTGCTTATTACTGTCTAAGAAGAGAAAGTGTCCCGCGGACCACGGGGTCGTGAAAGAACTGCCGCATCAGGCGCGGCCGGCGTAATAGGATCCGTAATAGGGCCATCACAATAAAATACAGATAATTGAAGAGATAGCATGATAGATAGATGAAGAATATCATAGATAGCATGATTCATGTTGTCTATGCTACTATTTATCATATACTCAATCAGCATAGCTCTTATGCACACAGCTGCACCTTATTGGTTTGGGCCGCTTATTTAAGTGCTTAACGTGCTCCGTCCAAAAATATATTTCTTATATTTCTTCGAAGGGTATTTCGATCATTGATGATTGAAAATGAAACGATGAAAGTAGGGAGTAAGAGAGAGAGAGAGAGAGAGAGAGAGAGAGAGAGAGAGAGAGAGAGAGAGAGAGAGAGAGGGAGGGAGGGAGGTAAGGAGGACGACAGCTGCTCGTCGATTATAAGTTCGGTAATGCGAACCCGGCGACTTTGGGCTGATATGCGCTAGCCGCTACTACGATGGCAATTAGTGATGTCAGTTTCGGAAAACCGTGATACCGATACCAAACCAAATACCAACAATAACCATGGGAAAATACTGAAACCAAACCATCTCGGGAAAATCAGGTAAATACCAACTTTTTACCAAATTCACAGCCTCTTTTACGTAACTGACGATTCATGAAATACCAACAGAATACCAAAATGCACCAGCCTTGAAATACCAAATGCCAAGTTGGTATCGGTTTGGCATCGGTACACCAAAAAGTTGGTATCCGATTGATATTTCTACTGGCAATATCTTCCGTTTGCCTTACGGAGAACAACCGATGCTCACAATATTATGATAGCTTTGCTATCAGGCTCCTAGGGATGCATGCAGGGAGGCGCAATGGCATAGAACGAATACAAAGAACATGTAGTTACACAATACAAACAAAAGAAAAGCACTCAGTAGGTATTGTTTGCCACAATCACATACTAATGTGGTCTGGGTCTGAGAAATAGATAGAGTTATACAGCACCACCTGATCCCAGCTTTTCTTCAAAATTCGTTTTCCTAACGCCTGCAATGATATGCACGTTGGATAACATATGAAAAAAACATGACAAAAGAAAAGTGTAGGAAGTTACATCACCTTAGCTGGCTTAATCGCATGCGTATCAATTGATCAGAAATAAATAGTAAGTTAGATAATATCAGCACATGAAAGTGCTGAAAGTGCTTATTAACCCGCGAGTTGCTGGGGGGGCGTTAAACGCCCCCACTTTTTTCGCCGGGCCATAGCATAAAAACGGCGCGCCGCAGGCGCGCCAAATTTTGGGTACCTGTAGGGAATTGATTGAAGTTTATTGTGACAAAGTTTCAAAAAAAAAATCGGTCGGAAAATTTTTGAGATATCGAGGTTTTAGTGACGTCATGATTTCTGAGTTTTCGACCAAAAACGGCATATGTTCAAAAAATCATATAAAATCACAAAATAGACATACAGACATGCCGTAAACGCCATTAGACTGCCAATACCATGATCAATCAAATGGCTATCTTCGATTATTGATTATCGTTCCGCATTTTCCATAATCTTGAAATGAATCTTGGCAATTTTTCATGACTTCTTCACGACCATGATACATGCATTTCTTAAATTGAACTTTTTGAGCCAAACACGTACAGATATGATAAAATGAATGTCACCATCGTGTTCTACGCCTCAAATTACCTATAAAACATGTGTCACAGGCTGCGAATATCAGTTTTGATTTTCGGGTATATGTGCCTGCCCGGTTGACCTGACCTTGACCCTGACCTATGCTTGACTGACCCCTACATGGAGCTGACACTCTTTTAGGCCTTATATGATGGATTGTGCACCGTTTTGACAGAGTTTATGACGAGAGGTGCCCATTGGGAAGTCCTGAAGTCCATGCTACTGAAAGCCCGATTTCAGGTGTTTGACCTGACCTTGACCCGACCTGTGACCTCAAAATTCAACTTTTAAGTACTCATCTGAAGCGTCTCGTCGCGCTCTTTCGTTTGCCGCCTCGTTCGTTTCGCTGCGCCTATTGGTTCTCGAGTTATCGGCTGGGGGCGTTTAACGCCCCCCCCCCCCAGCAAACGGTGGGTGGCGAAATACCCCAGCAACTGCCGGGTTAATTAGCCTGCTTTGGCTGGACAGTTTCCTACAGTATGGCCGCTCAAGCCTGCGTCCATCTTATTCGTCTTTAAAATGCTAACCAAATGAAAGCAGACATCTTGCAATTCTTTTAAGGCTCGTTGTATGTAAGGCATTTGATGATATCGTTTTTTGTTTTACTTTAATGACCTCCTTACAATGATAATGAAACTTTCATCTCAATTCGTTTATTTTTTATATGAATTTTCGGCAACGGGCCATGATCACATATACATATGGTCAAAAGCAAAGTCAAAAGTGTAAAAAGAGAACATGTAGAGTTCTATACATGTTCTCTACATGAAAGCAGACATCTTTTTTTACGCTGGCTTTCATCCCAGCCTCTGATGTTCTTTCTTTGGAACGTGTTTATCTTGGGGTTCCAGCTCAGTTCCCCATAAACATAATCTCATATTAAAGTGTCTGAGCTGCTGAGAGGTGTCATCGTCTGCATTCTGAAGCCCAGCATTTATTTTGAGCTGGTGTTGTTTCCTTTTTCAGACTAGATTCTGTTCTTTTAGCCCGCCATAAGCTATTGTTACTATGAAGTGTGTAATGTTGTGTCATTTTTATCAAGGACGACTTAGTACCGTTGTCATTAAATGCATCGTTAAATTAATGAAACAATGGTAGTCAAACCCTGAGTTGTTTCCGGCTATTTCATATAACTGGGTCATTTCATCATGAGAAGATTAACCCTCATGAATATTCTGAGTGAGTGATCCTAAA